GATAACACGAGTGCCATTAACATCTCTAAGAATCCATTTCAGCATTCTTTAACTAAACACATTGACATTAGACATCATTTCATTAGAGAGTTAGATGAGGAGAATATCATTGCACTTGCTCATGTGAACACAAAATCTCAATTGACTGATTTATTTACAAAAGCACTTGACTATGATACTTTTGTTTTCTTGAGGAAGTCCATTGGACTACTTGAACTTGAATAGTTTTTTATTTCAGTTGATGAATAAAGCATGAACATGCTACTTTTATTTTTCTTTGTCAAGACTCCTTGATCTGTGTTAGCATTCTAATTTTCATTCAGTTTCTCTTATCTGTGTGCTAACTCTAATATGTTGCGTCCATTAAGACTCTCTCTATAACATGACCTTATTGCATCATAAGTTGATTGTCCGTTCTTGTCACATTATAAAAGAACTACCTTGCATGAAGTGTGAAAGTTGTTTTAAGTAATTTTCTGATTTGTAGAGATCCCTATATTTTGAAAAATCTACCATTAAGAGGACTACCTTCATGCAAGTGTGAAAGCTACATTTTGGTTACGTTTATGAGAGTTATTTTCCCTTTGATCAAAATGAAAAGAAAAATCTTTATTTACTATGCTCATAAAGAAAAATGCAAAGTATAGTTGGGCATAACGGAAGGGGGAGCTTCTCTTGCAAAAATTTAAAATTGACCAATATGTCATTTCACCCCCTTGAGGACACTATCACACACTAAAACAAGCTCTTGGAAATTTCTCACTTATTTGTGATTAAGGAAGTGTTGTTTTGATTGCACTATGTTGACAACTTTCGTATGAGTTTTGTGCCTTTTAAGATTGAAAATTTGATCTTTTAGGTTGTTTTGCACAGATTGACTGTCTTGACCTTCAAAAATTCATGTAAAGCATTTCATAATTTTAATTTTATGTTCTTTAAATTTTGCTCAATAAAGTCTAGTAATTTATGTTCTTTTGGGATGTTGTGTGCTCACACGATTGCATATGTATACTCATTTAGGATAGAGTTCTATTTTTGGTAGAACTCTTTTTCAGCATCTCAGAATCGCCGCCTGCCATAAATGTGTTGCCCTATTTTTCTTTGCATCAGTCTTCATTTTCTAAAACCCTATTGCATCGCCTGTGTTCTTTGCTCTTGACATTTTATTCTCTCAAATCTTCATTGATTTTTCCCATGTTTTTCTCACATAGATTCAAGAAAGAAAGCTATTGAGAACCCAAAAAGAAAGGCTATGGAGGAATCTCTCAAGAAGGGATTTCAAGACCTGAAGAAATCCAGCAAGAAAAAGGAGAGGAAGGAGAAGACACCACCAGAGTCGTAGAAAAGTCTGATTCTGTGACTCTAGAGGAATCCTATGAAGAAGAAACCAGCCATTCATCCTCACCTGGTTCATCCCCTATTTCCAGTTATCACCAAAACTCGGAGCGCTCACAGAATGAGTTAGCCCTAGCCTCACCTGAGAAGAAGCCTGAAAAATCTTCTTCGATGTCAGACAGCGCCTCAGAGAACATGTCGATAGCCACTTTCAAATTGCACAAAGAAAGTTCTTCAAATAGCACACCTTCAAATACTCTGCTTCAACAAAATTGGTGAAAAAGAAAGGAAAAGCCGTCATGGAGGAACCTTCGTCTGGTAAAATTTCTCCTTTTGTTTTACCTACTGTTGAGGATATATTTAAGAGCCACATTGTCAAGAAGACAACTATGAGCGAAGCGAATGTTAGACTAGAAGATTTGATGAATTCCATGCTTTGATGAAAGAAAGAAATTGGTTAGAGACTGTCACTGGGTTGACTGCCCCTGTACAAACTCTTGTCCAAGAGTTTTATGCCAATTTAGGCTTTACAATGCTAACTCAAAATTAAACAAACATAATGATAGAGTTTCTGTTAGAGGACATTGGGTCCTGTTTACGAAAAATGTTGTAAGGGATGCTCTTGGTTTGAAGAAGAGCAAAAAGAATTTTGATTTGAAGAGTCAAAGTCATCACTGGTGGTTCAATTGTTGGTTAGCCGAGAACTAGTGTTCTTCAGCCTGGTGTGCTCACACCATTTTACAGATTGTTGTTTAAAATCTCATTGACAAATTGGTCCCCTTTAATGCACAATTCGACTGTCAGACCTGAACGAGCACAACTCCTTTATGGAATTGCTCAAAGGAAAAAGATTGACTTGGCTAAGTTGATTTTCACCAGTATTAGAGTTGCAGCGCAATCAACTCACTCTCTGCAGATTTTGTGCTTTCCTTCTTTGCTTTACAAAATCATTTCCACTTACAAGCCTAAATCCTATGAAGTGGAACCTGTTTTGAAGATAAAGACTGTCACCAATAAATCTTTTAGACAGCCTATAGGGAACTTGCCACCATCTTCCGCAATTGATCAAGCAAGGATTAACACTTGGAAGTCCAAGCTTTTTGTTGCCATGCAACACTTAGAGACTTCAATGGAGTCTATCCTTCAATCTGTGAAGGAAATTCACATTTCTCTCCGCTCACAGATGGACAAAATGAAGGCTAATCTGAAAAAGAAGAAAGAGAAGATTGTTTTGACAAAACCTGTTGATTAGAATGTGGTACCTCCTGCTCCTCCAGTTGATCCTGTTGTCATTCCTGCGTCTACCATACCTGCTAACAATGTTGCTCCTAAGATTCAAGTTGAAGAAGAACAGGTTGATGGTGAGGAAAAAGAAAAATTTACTGATGACAATGAACAAGAACCTCCTGAAAGTGACGATGTTGCTCCTGAGATTCAAGTTGAAGGAGAACAGGTTGGTGATGAGGAAAAAGAAAAATTTAATGATGACGATGAACAAGAACCTCCTGAAAGTGCAGCTGCTCAAACAGATTCTTCGGTTACCATCACTACCCCTCCAAAACTCAAAACCAAAAGGAAAGCTGGTCGCTCTTCTCTACCTTCTCGAAAGTCATCAAGACTTATGAACAAAGAGGGGGAGTAAGAAGCATGGGGAGTTTATAGTTTATTTATGTTTTGGATAAACTTATAATTTTGTTATTTTGTTATCTCTTCATGGGGGAGTTTGTTACTTTGTTTGCTACTTTTTTTTTTTTTTTTTTTTTTTTTTGTGGACTCCTTAGTTATCTTACTTTGATGTTTTTATTTGTTTTATTTACTAACAATGTGTTTACATTTGTGTTGTTTTGGTTATTTTGTTTTCATATTTGTTTGTGCAAATCTGCAAATCTTAAGTGGTTGATTTAAATCGGTTTGCACTTGATCTCTTTTATTATGTTCTTTGTTCATAAGTTTGACAAAGGGGGAGAATGTAGAATATTCATTTTTATCAAACTTATGAGTTGTGTGTGTGCACACTGGCTGCCAATCCTTTTATTTGACTTGTTTCATCGATTGTGTCTGTGCACATCAGTTCTTAGTGCACACTGTTTGCTAGACTTGTGTCTTGGCTTGTTTCGTTTCAAGTGTGTGTGCACAACGGTCTATGCTTACACTCTCACTTTAGATATTTTGCAACCCAACACAAGTTGCATGCTTGATAAAGTGAAAAAGATATTGTTTATCTTTGTCTCTTGATATTTAGGACCTTTTACATATGTCATAATATCCTTAAGTGGTCCAAGGGAAAAAAGTTATCTTTCCCAATTTGTTTTGTGGTCTAAACCAAAAGAAGGAATACTTTCCTTATTTGGACAAACATGGGTCAGCCCTTTGTTGGCTGATGTGGCACTATATTGTTGACCAAGAAATCCTTCATTATATAATACTCTTTCTTGCATAAATGAATCTAACATTTTGACAATTTGTATCATTGTACTATGAATTTCTTGGAGTATTCTATCTCTTAAGGTTCAAGGTTCATTTCTCTTTTATACCAAAACCTGACCATATCAAACATAAACTTGATGACTTTTGGAATGTGGTTCCTTTACTGATGTTGGTGCGTGGCATCGGTGGTTGAAGCTTGGTGGTTCACATGCTACTCACTGGTGTGTTCCTGACAAGAAGAAGGTCCAAGGAGTTGCTACACGTTAAGGATTCAAAGTGTGGTGCTAAGTGTAAAGTTGAACAGGGAGTTCTTTTTACTGTAACTTAGATCAGCTTTCAACTATATATTGTAATGTGTTTTGACTTAGTGGATTGCTTCAATCTGGACAAAGTCCCATGGATATAGGCTAAATGTGGATTTAGCCGAACCATGTATATGGTTGTGTTGGTCAGCCCTTTGTTGGCTGATGTGACACTATATTGTTTAGCAAGAAATCTTTCATTATATAATACTCTTTCTTGCATAAATAAATCTAACCTTTTGACAATTTGTATCATTGTACTATGAATTTCTTAGAGTATTCTATCTCTTTAGATTGAAGGTTCATTTCTCTTTTATACCAAAACCTCACCATAACAAACATAAACTTGATGACTTTTGGAACGTGGTTCCTTTACTGATGCTGGTGCGTGGCATCGGTGGTTGAAGCTTGGTGGTTCACATGCTACTCACGGGTGTGTTCCTGACAAGAAGAAGGTCCAAGGAGTTGCTACACATTAAGGATTCAGAGTGTAGTGCCAAGTGTAAAGTTGAACAGGGAGTTCTTTTTACTGTAACTTAGATCAACTTTGAACTATATATTGTAATATGTTTTGACTTAGTGGATTGCTTCGATCTGGACAAGGTCCCATGGATGTAGGCTAAATGTGGATTTAGCCGAACTATGTATATGGCTGTGTTTTTTACTTTCTGCACTTATGTTTATTGTGGTTAAAAAACTGGAAATCTCTTAATCAACTTGGTAATATTCTGCTGCACGTTAAAATGGGTACTTAAACACCGAAGTGTGTTAACTAATCCCCAACAATAACATTGCTATTCACAACATTTAGAGCATGATCTAATTGGAGTCACCAATTTCAAAAGAGAAGAGAAAGGCATATAAGGTTCAACAAAAAAGAGCAAGAACAAAAAGGGGGGAAAATGATGATTGAACATACTTGATTTACTCCAGTCCTTAAGTAACAGATGGAGGTGATAGTTGTCGATGCTTGAATAGCTTCACCATCTGCCTACGTTCACAATCCTGCATAGAAATGACAACAAAAAAGGAAAGAACCACAATTATTTTAATTATTTCAAGTCATGGTAATATAAATTATCCACACTGTTCATGTCTAAGAGTTAAGAGCAAATGATCTCATTCCATAAGACAGCCCCAAAACTAACTATATAATTGTTCAACCCATCCAAAACAAAGATGAACAAATAAAACTCTAAGTTGTTAGTTTGATTTTTTTGGTTTAGCTAACTCCAGCATCAGACTAGTAATTTATCTGACTCAAAAGTCTTTTGATTTCGTTGACAATTGACTGCTTAAAGCTACACAAAGACAACAATCAATTAAAGCTCATGAAAAGTTAGCATATTATCATGGAATATTTGGGAAGAAATTCCAGTGAAACGTGGCTTTAAAACTATAAAATTCCAGTATGAAATTAACTTGAATCTTATGAAATAGTTATATAATGAGATCTTTATGAGAGCTTTTTCAATCTTACAAGAAGCATAACTACTCGTTAAATAAGTAAAATTGGCCACTGCATGTCAAGGCACAATCATTGCATGCCAATGTTTTGTTAAGATTTCATTTGAAGGCAATTTTATTTAAGGTGTCTAAAAGAAAGTATTTCGATAAGGAGTTTTTCAAACACTCAAAAGAAAACATCACAGTAAACATTAAATCAGGACTTCATTGAGACACCAAATATACCTCAACCAATTCATTTTGGAACTTTAACAATCATATTGGCGTTAATGGCACTAAGCAACCAAGCTAGTTATAACCAGTTGCAAACTACATGCACTAACTAATACAAAGTAATGACTTGTAAAAAAGTATTAACAGATTTAATTAATAAGTCTATTACCTTAAACATATTCAGGTAGAAAGGTTTTTCTGGATTCATTCTCCTCAATTTCAAGTAAGTATATGCAAAGCTTAATTGATCACGCGTTGTAAATCGATCAACTTCATTAAACCAGAGACATGAAAATAAATTTGACATTGGTGTATGAGCCCGGACAATAAAAGAAGCTTCAGGAACATCTGCAAAGCACCTCATTCGTGGAATCAGCACCAGATATTCATGGGACATCATATAAAAGAAAAGGAAAAAATCCAAAACAGGAGAAAGGCACCAGGACTCACAACTAGGAAGAGGATTATTTGGATCAGAAGGGTCAAACTTGGTGAGGCCATCAGACTGGTAAAATATAATCTGTTCATCAATGGCCGTGTGGTTATACTTGTTCAGAAACTTATTTCGGAGTGCCTCTTCCCATACACAGTGGCGAACATAATGATTTGAAATGGCATACTCTGACCTTGTTCTCCACAAAAAGAATTCAATTATAAGCATTGGATCAGCCTGAAGTCGCAGCTTACTGTCAAGCCAAATTGAATACCTAAACATAAATGATATGAAAGATAGCAAAGTCAATGACTGGTCAGAACTAGGAGGTAAAAAGTGGCTAATGCACCAGACAACCAATCTTACCTAGAAGAAGGAAAGAGACGATGCGGTAAAAGTTTTGGCACTTTTCCAGTTTTCCGCATGTCCTTATATGGTAAGTTCTTAACAACAACAATTCTCCACAAACCGATATGTCCTTCGTCATCAGGAATGTTACCCTCTGAAGACAGTGTTAATAGTGTTTTCTCATCCACAAACATGACAAAACAAACATTTTTCTTGGAAAATTCACTAATCTGAAACAAATGAAGCATAAAAAGTTAGGAGAAACAAACGTGAATGTATATCATTGGCAGGATAGAAAGTAAATATAATATACAAAAACTCATATCTATAAACAAAAGCAATTCAAGGTGCACTGTTTTCTCTGGCATATGACTCCTTTCACATTTGTATTGCATGATGTAATACCTAAAGACTCTTTACTATATGTATATTGAAGAGAGGAGAAGACAATTAATATTAGGCAGATCAATCACTTTAAGGGTGCATTAAAATAAATAAGAAGACTATATAATCATAAAATCCAACTAAACAAAAGTCCTCAGGAGAGCCTACACTCATGATCTGTATAAGCGCACTTTCTATCGAAATGTAATCCTTGAAAGACAATTAAGTAATGCATAGTGCACATGCTTTTATCAGCACAAAAAGTACTCTATTTGAGGTTTGAATTAATAAATAAAGGCAGGACAGATATAACTATGATGTCATAAAGCAAATAAATTTGCAATATCGAATAAGAATCAGAGACATAAAGATACATATAAATCAAACTACACCATTCACACTTTGATACATTAAAAAAGGGTACCCAGCAGTGGCCAATCAATACAGAGTTTTCCATCTTGCATGCTTCAGAAGAACTCCTCTTAAGTAGAGAGTGACAATAAAAAGACCAATGCTTTGAAGAATTGATAATCTGGATCTGAATTATTGTTCATAAATCTAAGCCTACTTTTACTCTCTCTGTTTTAAACAGGAGGAATGAATATGCTACATGAAAAAAAAAAATTACGCTTCTCTTTTGAATAGCTATATTGAGAGTAAACTTGACATTCAATTACGGAAGAACGCAAGATATTTAACTAGAAGTAGCTAACCATCACTTCTGTGGACAAGATAAAAAGAAAAGATAAAGAATCCTCATTTACCGTCCCACTGGTAGGCCTCCTCAGAAAATCAGAGCTCCCAAAGATGCAAGAAGATACCACAACCTCACAAGTATTCATGTATGTCCTATCCCTTTCATCCAAATCAAATGTAGTGCTTGGAAATTGAGGCGGTCCTTTAACAAATCCACAATGAAGAGTTTGATTTTCCGCATAGAAGGATTTTTCTCTTTCCTGAAGACTCTGATGTCCTCCAAATCTAGGTTTAAAAAAGTTGGTTGTAGAAGGTTTATCTTCCTTCTCAATGTAGTCTAGCGAAAATCTAGAGAAATTCATAAAATCCTTGAGCTCAACAATCTCAGTAACTGACTCTGAGAATCCAATTGTGCAAGGAAGATCTGAAAGATTAATGGCGGGGGGAAAGAGCAGAAGAATAGTGTCAAACAGCCAGAAAAGCTTCCAGAATTTACTACTGTAAAACTATCAGAAGAATAAGCTTGCAATTCTTTACCTCAGTCAAAATACATTTAAAGATAAAGGAAAGTTTTGCTTACAAAAATTAAAAAAAAATGTTCAGATCTCTGATATCAAGCATCATTGTGCAAGATGAACATAAGGGGAAAATGCCCTATGTTCAATCACTGATAGCAAATGAACAAAAACATATTCAAGATTGAAGCCTCTACAACATGTGGAATATATTTGCTCCAAAAGAAGATTAAAACGTCAGCTCCAAAATCAGTGATTTGTAAGATTTTAGAAGAATATAATGAAGCAAAAACAAATTATAATTTTTTTTTTTTTTTTTGTTGTTGTTGTTGTTGTCGTTGTCGTCATCTGTCTTTGTTCACAGTTGCAGGTCATGAAATCTGTTAATACAAATTGATCCTGAAAACTCTTTTTGGGCTTTTTGTGGGAAATTCCCTCTACTCAAACTGACAAAGTGAAATCGCATTGTCCAAGCTTTAGAGTATTTTACAGATCTTGATGTCATTTATAATCTAATTGCACAATGAAAACATGCAAATTCAAGAAAAATAATACAAGCAAAGTACTCTTACACTCAGATATTACTTCTTGCACTTCTCGCGTATTTAATGCCCTATTTTCCAAGTTACCTGAAATGGTATATATTAATGATAAGCATAATAGAATCCAGAATGAAATAAAACAAGTGCTTCTACTCCTTAAAATACAATAAGTTTGTTGTCTCACTCACCATGAGAAAAGAATTTGAAGGCAAAGGGAACAGAACACATCAAAAAGAGTGCAGCAAGGAAAAACACCCAATGCCACGATCTCTGTCTATAAAATCGACCAAACCTCCTTCCCAAACGCACAACACGAAAACCATTCTCACTTCTTTTCTCCGTTGACATTTCACCATGGTGTTTAAAGACAGTCATTGCTGTGATAAAATCCAGCTAATGAGTAACATAATTGTGAAATAAAAGAGCAAACATTCAGTTTATTCCACCACAGTCTGACATAAACTTTACTGTACACAGCAAGTAATAAATAAAATCCCAGACATTATAATCATAAACTTCAGTGCACTAGTGAATAATTCAATCAAACTCAACTCAATTCCATGCTTTCAATAACAAAATTCTATCGATCTATTACAAAATTTTAACTCTGAGGAAAAATATTATTTTCAAAAAATGCTGAAATCTTTAAAACTAAAAGACTCGCCACATAAACATAATCAGTTTCAGTTCATTCCAAAATTCGCAGTTGAGAATAATAAACTTATATTCAAAGGTGAAAATAACAATAACAAAGGCGTACCTGATTCAAGATCTCACCAGAAAAAACTCGCGGGAATTTTATTCTCCTTAAAAATTATTAAATAGGACAAATTAAAAATAAAAATTACATCTAAGATATATATTTATTACAAAAACTGTAATTTTTATTCTACATTATGGAACTTTATTTTAAATTAATTTTTTAATGCATCTTTTATCAATTTTGGTTCAATTACTTTCTTTTTTCTATTGTTAGAACAAAATAAATGTGTTATTGCTTTTTAAAACAAGACTAAGAAAATTAATCCACACACCAAATAGTAGTATTTGTCGATGAATAATTTAAATCATTTTATGCATCATAGTGTATTCAAAATTACTTATAGCGTTGAATGAAAAAATATCTGATTAGTTAAAAAAAAGAAAAAGAAAAAGAAATTCAACAATATTTCATTTTGTAATCAAACTAGTTACAATTGTCTTGAAAAAATTGATAGTTGTATTTGATTTGATCTTAAAACAAGATTTTATTAAAAAATATATCTATATAAGTGATTATTTTTTATATGCACAAAAAATAAAGACAAATTAAGTATGAGATAAGTAATTAAATATTTGATAGTTTTGGAAATACATGGGTTTATTTAGATATTTTAATAATTTTAAAAGTTTTAATGGTTTTTTTTAGAAGTGGGGTCAAAAAGCTAAGAAACGGAGGATAAATAGCATCACTCTTTTAAAATCTAGGGGTATTGTTTGATTAAATTTGCTAAAGCTAGCATATTGTTGATTAATGAAACTATGGGGCGGTTATTGATAATCTCCTCATTTTAAGGGACAAATTTATAATTTTTTTATGATTTAAAAACTTTTTTCATTTCTTTCTTCTTCTAATTCGGCGTCCTAGGTAGAAGTGGATAATCTTTATAGTTGAAATTTTACTTGAATTTTTATAGTTAAATAATTGACAAATAAATTTAATGAATTATAGCATCAAAAGTGCCTGAGTTATTTTGGCATAAATTCTCTTTTTTATTTTTTTATTTTTTGGGTAAGTTTTTAATTTTTATTAGGTAAGTAAATAAATTCTCTTACTCTAAACAAAAATCTCCTTTGTTTTGCCATATTGGGTAAACCCTGCCTATTATGTAAATTACAATACGTTGACTTCTATACCCATAACCTCCATGTTATTCAAAACTTCAAAACCTAATATTTGATTCATAAATCTTCTTTTATTTGATGATATTCTATTAAAGAAAATCTGCAGTACAACGAGGGCACCAACTCAACAGTTGGCACTACCAATCACTCATAGCTTGACATTTGTCTAAACAAATAATTGTTTCCCTTTTTTCAAAAAATTACATAATTAGGATTGTAAAACTGCCATTGGTTTTGCACACCACCACCATTGTCGAAGACTTTGATGGACATCACTCACAAAACCATGTTCAAAATATTGTATTCATCAAAACAAATCACATCTATGAATCTCATAATAATCTGATGAATCTAAATGACATGATTAAAATTTCTCCTCTACAACTTTCATAGACCCCACTCTTTCCACCACTGCAAAATTCGGCGAGTGAATTGACAACTCTTACATTTTTTAGCTCTCACCCAATCAGTTTACTATTTCTTCACCATCAAACTACCACCTAGCCAATATGCATTCCCCTTATTTGATTTTCTTCATTATGGATAAATAAGCATAGTGCATTATATATATATATATATTTTAGTGTTATTTTGTTATTTTAATATGGTTTGATCTATTTCATACTTTATTTCTGTAAATAACCGATGAACCTTGGCAGTGGAATAAACAAAATTTTTGGTTCATCAATTGCTCAAATCCCATGTTCAGGGCCAAATATATATATGTTTTACACACAAAATAAATAATCCGTACAAGGATTATAGACCATACCAACGATGGAGGCTCCTTCAATGTCTCTGATCTCTTTGCTAGGTAATCCAAGAAGAGGACTGCACATATGATATCCACATAAACGTAAGATCACTCACAATTGAGTTAATTAACTTGATTAATTAAATTGCTCTTTGGATTTTGTTAAAGAATTGAAAGAACAAATATCTCACAAAAGGAAAAAGGTGGCTAGGGCTAAAAGGAGCAGCAATTTTCTTTTTAATTTTTTTTTCTCTTACCTAATTTTTGCTAAAGTTTTGTTTTTATAGCAAAACCCTAACCCTATTCCACATTAGAATAGGGTTAACCTATTCCTAAGTGGAGTAGCATTAAAGGTATTCTAATTTAATTAAAACTATTAATATTAATATTAATATATAGTTTGCTAAATTTAATTCCAATATAAAGTTGGATACAAGCAACAACTTCAGCAAATTTAATTATACAACAAATTACCAAAATACCCTCAAATTAAAATACATAATTTTGCTAATTAAATTCCAATATAAAATTCGACACAAGCAACAACCTTAGCAAATTTTATTGTACAGCAAAATTACCAAAATGCCCTCATGTATAGAAAGACGAAAATGCCCCTTAAACCAAAATCCTCAAACTACCTCCTATGTGTGTGACTCATAGGCTCCCTCATATGTTGGCAGTGACTAGTATCGCAAGTAACCACCAATCAATCATCTCACTATACACAGACCAAGACTGATCTCTAGCCAGACATCATGGTTACCCAACACATAGGGATTAGCGAAGTACTGATACCTGTCAATAGTATGGTTAGGGATGTGGAAATCCGGTTAACCGAACCAGATTGCCCACTTTCCAAACTGAACCGGTTTTTCAATTCAAAGGATAATTTTAACCAAAACCAAACCAAATTATCCCTTGAACTGGTTATTAACCGAACCGAATTATTAGTTCAGTTACCAGTTAACCGGTTTTATAAAACTACCACTAAATCAGTAAACCTAATTCTAATTTCTAAATGTAATCCAATTTACCTATACACATACCACAATTTCTCATTGTTCTAATTCAAAAATACGCACTCCTAATAATCAAATAAGTAAACCAGCCCTTCAATTTGCTAGAAATTTTCCAGTTCACAATCAGTTCGTTCAAAATGCCCATAATGATAGAGACTCTATCAAACCCTCATACTTTCCTCAACAAAACCCACCCCCCATCGACTATCCCCACTCGTCGTTTGCCCGCCACAATCAACTCTCACAGTTGTGTGACAGTCGCCCTTTGTGACCCTTTTCCACTGCAAATTGCCTTTTTTTCCCCCCATTCTATGCCTTGATCTTTCACCTTGGTGGTTGTGATTGTTGTTTGTTGTGTATTTTTTGGTTACCGGATAACCTCCACCAACCCAAAATCTCCTCTCCAAACCAAAGAGAAGAAAAAATAGAAAGAGAAAAATAGTGAAGGAGAAGAAATGGAGAAGACAAAAAAGAAAAAAAAAAAAGTGAAAGGAGGAGAAGACGAAAAAGAAAAAGTGGAGAAGGAGAGGAAAAATAGAAGAAAAATAGAAAAGAAAGAGAAAAGTAGTAAAAGGAGAAGAAGAAAAAGAAAAATGAAAAATGGAGGAGAAGTAGGCCCAATACCCAAGAAAAAGTGGACAAAAAGTAGGTATTTTTAGTTTTTTTGGTTTTTTTTTTTTTAAAACGGGTGTTGGTTAATCGGTTTGACATTGTCCTTAAACCATTATTTGAATCGGAAAATCAGTTTGGTCATTTTTGAAAATCGAAACCGAACTGGTTAATCTAGAAAACCAGCTTTTTAGTTTAGTTTCAGTCTGGTTTCCTGATTCGATTCGGTTTTTGGTTTTCTTATTTTTTTTTCACCCTAGGTATGTTTACCGTGCAATCGAGTCCTTTCATCAACTGTTATCTCTTCAAGGTTCAGGTACATAAATAGTCCCAACCTCAGATACCCTTGATAACTTGGTATACGGTTACTAGACCAATAATCAAAATAGAAATTGGACTAAGCGACAACTCAATCTCACTGTGGTCACGAATTTATATTGTCATTGCCAATATAACCAAACTGCACAGTGAGATAACTTTTCCCATACCCGGGAGTGATGAATCCTCTATCAATCCACCACAGTCTTAATACATTTCTCGATGCTGCCAATCACTACCATTCTGATAGCTCTAAAGAGTAATATGTTGGGCTAGTGGCAAACTACACCGATTGGTATACAAGGCACTCTGGTGACCTCAAGTCTAAGGATTACATGCAATACCATCCATTAGAAGATTTTTTCCACAGACACTAGGGTTACCATCCATGTGGAATCCTTTGGTGGGTCTGTCTAGTGAACTTGCTTAAATAGCAAGCACTCATGTGTTGCACTAGGTCGTCACCAAACAACCTTGACAAGTGAGAATTGTCACTGCCTCTCGACAAGGTCGCTCAACACGATGATAGTCTTACCATATTATTTGTGTCCTTGGTAAGAAAATATTGAAGCTATGGATGGTTTTAGAATGTCCACCATATGTGCTCGTAAGGTCCTCACTATCGAGATTTGAAACACTCTATACCCTCATCACGGTTCTACCATCCTAAGGACATATATCAAGACATACAATTATGATTGACATGATATAGAAGTAAATGCCTTTTATTGATAAATAATCATGATATTTATCAATAAACAGTATTTGTTGATGAATAATTTAAATCATTT